TTTTGGGGATCTGGGGGTACCCTCACTACCCCCACCCCACCTTCAAAAGATGTGCATGGGGGGCAGGCAACTCCCCAGAGAGGACAGTGGAGGCTGAGAGGAGCTTTTCTCTTGCAGTTCCAGGTGCTTGTGGCCTGTCAATTTCCCGACAGATGGAGCTGTGCTTCAGAGTGGGAGTGAGGAAGGAGATCAGTTCTTTTCGTAAAGAGAATCTTCAACATTGCTGTCAGCAAGTTACAGGGTGCAGTGGGAAGGGCTGTGAACTGTGGTTGGAAGATCCAGGTCATAGGTGGGCTCTGCTTTTTGGCAGCTGGGAGCCCCTGAGTGAGTCACTCCTCTCCTCCGAGCTCCTTCTTTTCATCTGTGCCAGGGGAAGAGAGTCCCTACTGCTGGAAGAATGGATCCAACTGCCCCACAGGGTGGTGGGAGGGTGAAGGCAACAGGTGGGGTGGGATGATGGCTGAGCTGGCCTCTTCCCCCTCAGAGGAGTTATAGGGCATCACGGCCAAGCCACCAACCTGCTGGGTGACCTCGCCCATTGTCTACCCCCTCTCTAGACCTTGATCTCTCTTGCCTGTACACTGGTCAACTGTCACAGTTATGACATTAGCACTGCACACCCTGGACTGTCCAAGGAGAAAAATGCCTGGAGATAGGTGGGGGTTGAGGAATGGACCCGACAAAGAAGAATGTCATTGACCCAGACCATTGTAATATCAGTTCCCTCTGGAAGGATCCCCCAAACCCCGTGTGTGCCACATGAATGTCCTTTGTTTAAACAATCACACATCCCAGATGCCAAGGCAGCAAATGAGATCCAGTTCCTGGCAAAGGGTCACTAGCACTGCAGCAACTCCCCTGACTTCATCCTACCCCCTCTGGCAGGCGTCAATCCCACCCAAGTGGCCCCCCTGGGTGGAGCTCTGCAGGCAGGGGCATCTCCCGTGGAGAAGGTTTCTGGAGAAGGAGGGCTGGCAGCTGGTCCAGAAGGCAAGCCACACCTCCTTTGACTCCCTCCCATTCCCCCAAATCACTGGAGAGCACACCAGAGTGGGTAAAGCCTCTGGCTGTGGAGGCGGAGACATGCCTATTGGCTGTGNTGGCTATGTTTTTGTACTTTTCCCACAACATTATGCTGCTTCTAGTCACTAATCAAATCATTGGACTAAGGGTCTGAACCTGGCATAAACTGATCTTGGTTCAAGTCGTGGCTCCTGGCCTTTGTGTGACTTGGGTGAGTGACTTTTACTCCTTGAAGCCTGGGTTTCCTCCTCTGTAAAACAAATGACAATAATCCCACTGCCCTCATAAGTTTTTTATGATAGTTTCATTGAATGATGGAGGATGAGCCCTCAGTATCTGGCATTTAGCTAAGAGCTCTGTTGACCATTTGAGATTCTGTTACTCTTAGACTGGGACTCCTGCAGTGTACCAAGCACGTGGCTTCTGCGATCTTGGCGTACTCACAACAGCACTGTGAGGTTGGGATTTTCACCCACGCGGCACAAGTGAAGAAAGAGAGGCTGAGCGAGTCTCTGCTCCAGAGCTCAGTAGAGGAAGGTGGACCCTGCTCATTCTGCTGGGGCTTAGCTGCTTAAAAGCAAAGGGTGTGTCACTCTCCCTGGGTCCGAGCGGTGAGCACAGCATCCTGCCCACCTGCTTCTGGATCCATGGTCTCCTCCAGACCCAGAAGGCAAATCCTCTCCTCAGTACCTCTCTTCCAGGGGTGAGCCCCACCCTATACTGGGTGCAGGACAGAGAAGACTCCAGGAGGCCAGAGTCTGGGCTCAACACCTCTTAGGAACTGGTCATGTGCTCTCAGGTACATCACTTCCTTCTGTGCCTCAGTTTCTCCATCTGAAAACAGTTGTGATTATTTCAGCTCTGGTTTTGGCATCAAAAGACCCAAGTGCGAATCCTGATTCACTTATTTGGAATAGCCCTGAGCAACCTCACTTTTCTTAGTTGCTGTGTCTTTGGCTGTACTAACGGGCTAATGGTAAATGTTGTAACAGGATGTTGAGTGAAAAAAGGAGAGCACAAAATAGTCACTAGTATGATCTTAATTACATTTTAAAAGTCTATGGATGTACGTATGGGTGTTTGTATCTACCTTTTCAAAAAGAAAGAAAACCTACTAAATGTTCCTAGTAATACTCTTTGGACACCAGGTTCGTGGGTGATTTTTACTTTACTCTGTGTATTACTTCTGTAGTTTTCCAGTTTTTCTGCAATGAGCGTGTGTTGCTTACAATCAGAAACTAGCAATTCAAAGCATAAATAGTTGTCCTTGTTGCCCAGGGTTGTCCAATAATCACCTGTGGACACCAACAGAGTGGCCTTGTGAGAAAACCTGTGTCCTGTCCTCCCAGGGCACAGTTGGGGTTGGCGTTGGTAGGTCCTGCAGGGCTTGCCCTCTGGCTGGGTGAAGAACTCATTGCCTCCCAAAGCCCCCCATGAAGATGCAGCCTCGTCATGGCTGAAGACTTCACCCAAAAGGAAGCTTGAAGAAGAAGGAAAGTAACTGGAGGCAAGGCACCTGGTTTCTAATGCCAGCCCCGCCCCCACCCTGCCCCACCCTGGGAAGGCACATGGCCTCTCTGGCCTTAGTTTCCCAGTCTGTAAAAGGGGATTAAAGGGTGCCTGCCTCACTGGGGGCTTGTGAGGCTCCAGTGAAACAGCAGCTTTGCCTGCATCTTGCCTCCCTTCCCCTTCCCCTGCCCCTCGAATCACCTTTAAAAGATGAGATGTCAGGTCTTTGGTGCCTTTAATATAGGGCTTCATTGGAAGAGAAATTATTTGATATTTTCAATCATCATCTCATCTTGCTGTTAACAGGCCAAGGGACTACCCAGCAGGTGACTTGGGGAATGCAGCTTTGCACTTGAACTTTTTATGCTCCAGCCCATCTAACCTTTCTGCCCTCCCCTCTGCCATTCTGCCATACAGACCCTGCCTGTTGCCAAGACTGCTCCCCCTATCCCTGTCTGTACTCTCCCCCACACCCTCATGCTCTGTATTTCAAAATATTTTCAGGCTGGGTTTAAATGCCCCCTCTTCCATGTGGCACTGCCTGCTTCACCCAATAGATCTGGGATTCTGTGCTTTCTCTGAGCTTCTCTTACTTTCAGCCATAATGATCTACTTATGTACCTGTGTCTCCCACAGAACCAAGAATTTCTTGAGGGCAGGGTGCACATCCTATCCCCCTCCTCTACCATATCCACCATGGTAGATGACACATGCAGGGGTCAAGAAAGATTTGCTGAAAGAATGGTTGCATCTCACACTGTTTGAAGACAGTATGTGCCTCTTCCCATCAGAAATAAGCAATTAAAAGTTCAGAGTAAGAGTTGTCCCTAGTAGCAGCTTGTCCTACAAATCTCCCTGTAGCTCAGCACTCAGTGGGTAGGGATGGAGATGTTATTAGCTAGGACACCAGTTTCGAGGCCAGACCATCACTTGTTTCATCCACCGTCAGTCATGGGGAAGTAAGTCAGCCTCCATCTCCATTACTGACATGCTGGCAGCAGTGGGAACAAGAAAAAGCAGCCCTAGCATGTTTGTAGCCGTCATGCGTGGAACATGCCACTGTGCGTACAAAGCACTAGCGCACCGTTACGGTAGTTGGGCCTCCTGAAAACCCTGTGAGCTGGGCATGGCCAGGGAGAGGCTTCCTACCTGTTTTCAAATGGAGGCTGAGCATGATGGGATGCCAGGTTGACCAGGATTTTCTGACCTATCGAGCCCACTGTGCCATGCTGCTCCCTCACATCCTTTGACCCTCCCAAATGCTAGGCTAGGGAGGACAGGCAGGGCTACTGACCCATTGCACAGATGAAAACTTGGAGGCTTAAGGAGCAAGGCCTATTGCAGTCTCAGCAAGCAGAGGTAGAGTAGGCAGTCAGGAAGGCTGGAGGTAAAAGCAGTAGGGTCCTGAACTGGAACCTGAGCAGCAACAGGAAGTCTCAGTCTCTGGAAAGTTGGGTGAGGGTCCCTGATGGGAATGATTGTGTGAAGCCTTCAAGGTGAGAACAAAGCGTGGGCCACTGCTAGGCCATGACAGGTAGGCAGCAGTGCCTGGGGCTTCTCTCTCCAGTCTTTCTTGTGTGGCATCTTCTTCGAGGGTTGCAGAACCCGGTGAGGGAGGCAGGTTAGGGTGGGTCTCCCCATTACAGGAGAGAAAATTGAGGCCAAGAGGGGATGTTCTGACCAGCATACCCACCTCTGCTGCCACCTGCAAAACCCCAAATTCAGCAATGGCCTTTTCAAACTTGGCTCAGTATGACAAATTCCCGCAACCATATACTTTATGAAAACTTCAAAAGAAAATTTTAAAAAATTATTTTGTACATATTTAAAAGAACAATCTCTGCTCGGTGGCTCAGCAGCCCTGATCAATCAACTGAGAGAAGTAGATACCTTGGTTAATTAGGTGACATGGGATTCTGGAAAGTTCCAGAGGTGCAGGCAGGGAAAGTGGAAAGTGTATGTCTCTCTCCTCCTCTGCACTCTTGTCTGTTCCTGGGAGCTCAGTGACCTTGTTTCACCTGGATGAAGGGAAGGGGACTTTGGCTGGTGAAGGCACAGTCGCAGGGGCTGTGTGTGCTCCTGCCTGTTGGGGAAGCTGAGCTGCCAGGCCCAGGGTAGCAGGTGCCTGTGGGCCAGCTCAGCCCACCTGGGGGTACGGATGATGAGAGAGGAATCTGGAGGGCATGAGGCTCCTGAATGTTTTCAGAACCCCCTGCAGCCGCAGGCCTCATCTGGGCCTGGAAGTTGAGAATTAGAGACTTTCTAGGCTGGAAGGAACCTTAAAGATTTTCAAACCCAACCCCCAGTTTGATGCCCCCTCCCCCAGCATAGCCATCTGGATTTGCTGGTTCACCTCCAGTGATGGGGAACTCATACTGGGCCAGATTGAATTCACGTTGGCACCCCGTCCCTTCCACCGCCTGGTCCTGGTTCTGCCCCTGGGCAGGAGGAGAGCAGCATCTGGATTTGCTGGTTCACCTCCAGTGATGGGGAACTCATACTGGGCCAGATTGAATTCATGTTGGCACCCCGTCCCTTCCACCGCCTGGTCCTGGTTCTGCCCCTGGGCAGGAGGAGAGCAAGCATGTTTCCAGCTCTCCCTGGTGGCTCTGCAGAGACCTCCCTATCCCAAGAGCTTCTCTGATCAGGTCCCACAGTTCCAGTTCAGCATCCGTGCCCCAGGCCTGGCCCCATTTTCTCCAGATTTTGGTTGGAGTCCACATCAACATTCAGGGCTGGAGTGGCTACCCGGCCTTCTAGTGTTGTGTGGTTGGTGTGGAGGAGAGCAATCCTAACCTGCCTTTTTCCAGATCCCTTGCCTCTGTAGGCCCAGCCCCAGGTCCTGCCATCCTAAGCTGGTGGACAGCCCCAGTCACCCATCAGTCCTATTCAGATCATCCCATCCTTGTGCCCTTGGATCTTGGGTGCCAAGGGCAAGACATCACAGCCATCCTGCTAGGCCCCCCAGTCTGAGTCTGTGCTCCCTGAGGAGCTCTGCTTGCCCTAAGCACTGGTCTCCACTATGCATTTGAGGAACATGGTGTCGTCCTTCACGTAGGCGTGCTTGGGTGACTGCAGCCTGCTGAGGGGGAAGAAGAGCGGGCAGCCACTGGCCACGTTGGTTTCACTCTGAGGCCGCTGGAAGGACGCTGAGCTCAAGTCGGGCCGGAAGGCATCAATGGCGTGCTCACGGTTGTTCTGGTCGAGCAGCATGAAGGTGACCTGCAGGGCATGGGGCAGGTAGGAGGATCAAGCCCTGGGCAGCTGCACCCACCGAGGCTCAGCAGCCACATACGTGGGCTCATAGCTGGGCTCTGTGTCTACTGCCTGAGTGGCACCTCTGACCCTTAGCTCAGACTGATTAGACAGCAAAGAAACAATGTCAGGGCCTCACCTGGTGTATGGCAAGACCCCAGTAAACAGAAGCACCTGGTATTCTGAGACGGCTTCAGGGTTTGTCCTATGATTAGGGTCAGATGCTCGATCCAGCAGGGGGAGGGGGAGCGGGGGTGGATTCTGATTTTACAGTCAACCTTGATTGGCCGTTGGGGGGCTACAGGTGGGCCTCAAGCACTGACAAGAAAGCTGAGTTCAATAACCTATAATGCCCTCTCTGGCTTGGAAATTTCTGATTCACCAACTAGAGCTGGACCCTCCTGGGGCCAGGCAGAGGGGTAAGAACACAGAAGCCTTCTACTGAGGGGCTGCCACTCAGTGATCGGAAGCACTTATCAAGATTCTGGTACACACAGAACAGATATGTGTGCCCCTGAGAAGTGGCTCATCTAAAAGTGACACAAAACCTCCCTGGCACATGTCCCCAAAATGCCCATCAGGAACCTGAAATGGCTTCTCACCGCCTACTGAAGCAATTATTAAACTCGGCTACATGTTAGAATCCCCTGGGGAGGCTTACAAACCCTGATGCTCAAGCCTTATCACTTACTGGGGTGAGACCCAGCCTTTGGTATTTTTAAAATCTCCCAGCACCTTTGGGAGCTGCTGGCCCGCTGACTCCTACCCAGACCAATAAGGCCCACCCCTCCCCCCTCCCCCGTCTTCCATCTGAGCCGAGGTGTGTATCCCTGACACTTCCCTTCACATGATGCTGCTGTTCACCTGCAGGCAATGCCTAGCCTCCTCCAGTCCCCTTTTACAAATATTTAATAGATTGTATTATTTCGAGCAGTTTTAGGTTCATGGCAAAACTGAGCAGAAAATACAGAGATTTTCTAGATACCCACTACCCCGCCATATGCACAACCTCCTTCACTCTCAAAGTCCTGCTCCAGTGTGGTACTTTTGTTACAACTGATGAACCCACATTGCTACACCATAATCACCCAGTCTACAGTTTACAAGAGGGTTCGCTCTTATGTAGTACATTCTATGGGTTTCGATACACGTATAAGGACACGTATCCACCATTATAGGATCATGCAGGGAATTTTCACTGACCTAAAAATCTGTGCTCCACCTCTTCATCCCTCCCTTCGCCATCCCCTGGCAACTACTGATCTTTTCACCGTCTCCATAGTTTTGCTTTTTCCAGAATGTCATATAGTTGGAATCATACAGTATGTAGTCTTTTGAGACTGGCTTCTTTCACTTAATAATATGCACTTAAGGTTCCTCCATGTCTCTTCATGGCCTGATAACTCATTTCTTTTTAGTGTGAGTAATATTTCATTATCTGGATGTACCACAGTTCATCCATTTACCTACTGAAGGTTGCTTCCATGTTTCGGAAATTATGAATTAAGTTGCTATAAACATCTGTGTGCAGGTTTTTGTGTGAACTTACGTTTTCAACTCATTTGGGTAAATACCAAGTAGTGCGATGGCTGGATTGTATGGTAAGAGTATGTTTAGTTTTGTAAAAAACCACTAAACTGTCTTCCAAAGTGCCTATACCACTTTGCATTCCCACAGCAATGAATGGAGTTCCTGTTGCTCCACAACCTCCCCAGCACTTGGTGTTGTCAATGTTCTGGATTTTGACCATTCTAATAGGTGTGTAGTGGTATCTGCCTCCTCCTTTTTTTCTGAAAATTCTGCTGGTTCAGACTAGTCTCACAGCACCTCCTCCAGGAAGTTCTGCTGGTTCATCCCACCACGTGAATTTCACTTCTACATGCCCTTCAGGAGTGCTCAGTTCCAGACATTTTAGGTCTCAGACTCCTGGATCTGGAGGGAGTCTTGGCTACTACATCTGAACTCAGCTTCTTGTTTTCTAAAAGGGGAAACTGAGAGGGCAGGGGACTTGCCCAGGTCACAGGGCCAGTCCATGACTAAACCAAGACTAGGACCCAGGTGATCTCACTCCCCCCGGCCCCCGTTATCCCCCCAACCCCCGGCCCTCACCTTGTTCCGGAAAGGCCACTGCAGCAGAGCATCATACTCTCCTCTCATGATCACGATGAAGAGTGACAGGTGGGTCCTCTTTCCTGTGCCATCCCCATTCAGGTAGAGACGTAGGCACAACTTGTAGCCATATTTGGCAGTGTAGAAAGCTGAAATGCAGACGCTAGAGTCAGACAGAGGCAGTTGGGAAGTGCTGGGGGCTTTGCAGATGAGGAGACCCAGGACCTAGTGGTTAGGCATGCCCATGGTCAAAACTAAGAAAGCTGGGGTGAGAGCACACAGTGTCAGAGAGAAATGGGCTCTTGGATATCCTCTAGCCCTGTGGTTGCCAACTGGACATCTGCATCACAGCTTGCCAGGCTCCACTCACAGTTTCTGCCTCAGCAGCACTAGGGTGAGGACTGAAGATTTGCATTTCTAACAAGTCTGCAGGGGATGCCAATGCTGCTGGCCCTGGGACCACACTCTGAGAACCACTGATCTAACCAGCCTGCATTTTACAGTCTGGAAACCAAGTCCAGGAAGGGGAAGTGGCTGGCCACCATCTCACTGTGTGTTGGGGGCAGAGCCAGGAGGAGGGGCCAGGCTTCCTATTTCCTAACACTGGCTCCTTTCTGCTGCCCTAAGCCAACCCCAGGGTCTCTTGGAGGCTGGGGTCGAGGGGGCAGCTCATAGTTCTCCCAGCCACCCTTGGAAAATGTCTTTGAGGGCTAAACCATCCCTGTTGATGAAACACAGGAGCCTGTGGGTCTCTCTCCCTGGGCGCTTACAGGGCCATCCATCTGAGCGCAGGTTCTGGCAGCTGTCACCTTCCGGCAGAGGGCCCCTCTGGGAGGGGTTGGGTGTGGACAGGGTATTGGGGGCAGGCAGGAAAGGGGTGGAGGGCTGACTGACTGACTCATCTCTGCCCATTAGGTTTTGACGGAACAGGAAGCCAGGGCACTGCTTGCTTTTTCCCTCTTTGGAAAGAATTGAGGGGAAAAGGTCTTTGCATAGGACGTGAGCCCTCCCCCGCCCCCACCCCCACCCCCAGAGGGCTGTCCCAACAGAGGAGGGTGAGCTGCTCCTGGAGGAAAGGGGCCTGGCTTGGGGCCCAGCCCTGCTCTGGGGTGCGGGACAAACTCTGCTGCCTCTATAAGGTCAGCAGGAGGAAGAGGAATCACCTAGCTCTGTTGGTCTTGGGGGAGTCACAGGAGCTGAAGAATGTGAAAGGGACAAAAGTGGGGCAGATTGAGGGGTTGTTCACATTGTAATCAGTAGAAATCCTCCTTTCAGGGCCCACCCATTTACTTAGAAACACATGAGTGAGACAAGGGGGAACACACAGGTCTCAGTCCCGCTCCACACCTGGCTTCTGTGCAGGCAGGTGGATGGCGGGACTCAGCCTTCCTGGGCCTCCATTCATTAATCTGTAAAATGCTGTTGAGACAATGGGCACTTGGTGGGGGTTTGAGACATCACAGTCCACTGTTGACCCAGCCTTGGCAGGTGATGTGGTCTAAATGGAGCCACTGTCTCTCTCTCTCTCACACACACACACACTCATACTTATGTGCAAATACGCCCATTGTTATCTTAACAGATATCAATTAGTTAAGAGAAACACTTACCAAGTAACTATGCAAGACACTGTGCCAAGCCCAGGGGCCCCAGAAATGAGTAAGAATTGCCCCAATTTACACAACACTTATTCTCGTGCTCCCCGCAATTGCACACACATGCATGGGTGTTTTACTTAGTTTTTTACTTGTCTTATTTCAGGTCATTGGCTTCCTGAGGGCAGAGGTCCCACAGTATTCACCTGCAAAAATCATCATCCGTGCCCCTCTCATTTGTACACACTCTGGCTCACAGCACACTTGCTTTCATACCTGATATCCACATGAAGTGGGTAACAATTTCTATTCCATTTGCAGAATGTGACTGACATTCAGGGAGGAGAAGGGGCCTGCCCTGGGTCCAAGAGCCCACTTCTGTACGGGGTCATGTAGCTCACTTTTGTATGGGGCTGAGAGCCACAGGTCAGAGCACGGTTTGCCCACCACTCCCACGGTCCCTGGCCATGGTAGGTGGCTCAACTGGACACCAGCCTAACTGGACACAGTACGACTGTCACAGAGTTGGCTGTTATCACTGCTTGTTTCCTGAGTGCAGAGGGTCCTGCCTCCTCCAGCTGGTCTCTGTGCCCTGGGAGGTGTTACCTGGGGAGAAGAGGCTGATGGTTCTGCCACAGGCCGACTCGTGGCACCTCCTGGTGACATTGGTGATCTTCCACAGGAAGGTGCCATCGAAGGAGGCTTCCTCCATGAGGCGCAAGCTCTGCTCCAGCTTGCCCAGGGCTTGGTCTTTCTGGGCCAGGGTCTGCTGCAACTCCACCACCTGTAGGAAAGCCCATTCAGCCAGGACACCAGAACCCGGCTTGGGAATGAGGTGGGGATGGCAGGATATGGAAATAGACCTGCCCCATAGATGCTTTCCTGACCACGCCCCACTGAAGCACCTGCATCTGTGTTTGCACGTGCTGCCCCATGTCTGGAATTCCTTCCCTGTTCTTCTCTGCTGGCCAACTACTATTCATTCATCAGGAATCCAGCACATATGGCCCTTCCTCTGGGAGGCCTTCAATCACTGCCCTAGCTCAGCTGGTCTCTCTCTCTCTCTTGTCTATGTTCTTACAGAGCCCGTACAATGGTTTTATGAGATATATTTTTCTGCCTTTCCTACCAGGTGGTCTTCCCTCCTGAGGGCTGGGCCCATGCTCATGTTATCTCTGTGTCCATGCCTTGCACACTGTCTAGCATGTAACAGCAGAGCCAGGAAGTTTGTTGGTGAAATGAAGACTCAGTTACTGCCCTCAGGGAGCCCACCTTTTGACCAGGGTAGGAGTTACATAAATAAAGTCTTTGCCTGGTCACTCGAACCCAGTACCTGGCTCTTCTAATAGGTTTCCCCTATGAAATTTGAAAGAATATAAATTTGCTTTTGGGTGTGCTCAAGTAGGAAATCCAGGAATAGAATGAGTGTCCTTAAAGAAAATTTAATCCCTCATTTTACTGATGGGGAAGCTGAGGTCCTGAGACAAAGCGACTTGCTCAGACCTACACAGCAAGCTCTAGTGAAAGGGAAAAGGAGCTGGGACATTTAGCCTAAAGAAGGAAATACTCAGGTAGGATATAATCACTGACTATCCACTTCTGAAGGGCTGCCATGGGGATAAGAAGGTAGATTTGTTTTGTGAGCCCTGAGGAGCAGGGCCAGGAACAATGCAGGGAAGACAGAGAGAGGCTGATTTTAGCTTAGTATAAGGAAGAACTTGCTAAATTGTGAAAAATGGCCAGCAATGGACTGAGCTGCCCCGAGAGGGAGTGTCCTATCAGAGGAGAGGTTCAAGCAAAGGAACTGAAGCATTGGATGGGGGATTTGACCTTGACCACAGATTCTGACTCAGTGCTCTTAGAAATCCTAGAAGGTCTTGGGACACAGGGGAGATATGTTTTGATGCAAGAGTAGCTGTTCTGAGCAGGATGAATGATGAAGGGGAAGACTGGTCCACTGCTTTGGAGACAGGCTGGGGCAAAGGGAGCTCCCTGAGCCAGCCTTGAAGGCAAACCTGCCTTCCACGCTCACCCTCTGTTCCAAGCTCAGGATGCGCTCACGGTCCAGCTGGCTCTGGTGGATGGAGGCAGTCAAGGCCAGGTGGGAGGCCTCCACCTCCTTGTTGAGGACGGCGACAATGTTCTCAAACACACGCAGCTTCCCTTCCAGCTCGGCCAGGAGCTTTTCCTTCATGAAGTGCTGCAGGGCCAGCTCCTCCTGGCTCTCAGAGCAAGGTGCCCGGTAGCAGTCCACCTCCAGGTCCCCCGCCACCTCCACGGCTGCCTGCAGCTGCAGGTCTGACAGGTTCTGCTCCAGAGCCATGGGCCCAGATCCCAGGCCAGAGCCCACCTGGACCTTCCAATGTTTCATGAACCCCAACAGCAAGTTTAGGTGGGAGGCCTGGGAGGTGACCTCATGCTCCTGCATGGACTGTGGGTTCCCCTGCAAAGAGAGTGGGTCTGATCAGTGAAAACAGAGGTGGAGGGAGGAGTGGAGAGCACTGCCATCAGTGGTCACCAAGGAAAGTCAGATCCATTCATCCAGCAAATGGGAACTGACTTTCTGTACAGTGGGAGGGATTCGGGAGAAGAACCCTGGCATCAGGCATACGCACAGTGAGCCACTTGCATCCTGACCTCTAGAGCAACAATACTGCCCTGCCTTTGAGAGCAATGATGCTTCAGGACCACGGAGAGAGGCACTGGGTCATTTTAGTGATACTACACCAGTGCTTAGATGAGACATTAAGAAGAACTTTCCTGAGTACTACAATGACTTAATAGTAGGACTTGTTGCCTGGGAAGGCCATTAGTGTAGACGACATCGAGAGCAGTAGCTTGATGTTACGGGAAAATCCTGCAGGGGCTGGAGTGGGGAGACCCAGAGGTCTGGGACCATAGTGGACAGATCTCTCTCACACTCAGACGATTACCTTGAAGGAACAGCCAACACCTGCAAAGGGGCATCCAACTCCAGCCTCAGCCACCTCGGGGTGAACCTGGAAATAATAACCGTGTCACTGGATGTTTGGGAATCCCTGTGGCCACTCCTAGGCTCTCCGCAAAGCACTTGACATTACTGCTAACCTATTTAGGTGTGAAGGGTTTATGAAATGTTTTCATGGTCACAATTCCCCTGTAAGGAAGACAGTGTAAATATTTTGTTCCCATTTTACTGATGAAAAAACTGAGTCTCAGAGTGGGGAAGGAATTTGCCCAAGGGGGAACAGCTAGGAAGCAGCACAGCCATGGGATGCTAACCACACCATATCACTATCTCTTTTCGAGAACGTGTTCATAGGGTATGGAAGAATTTTTTTTTTCTAAAACATATATCTGTGAAAGGGCTTGTATCCAGACTATCTAAAGAATTCTTACAATTCAATAATAAGACAAACAACCTAACCAAAAAATGGGAAAATGCTGAACAGATACTTCATAAAAGGAGACATATAATTGACTAATAAACCTATGAAAAAATGCTCAACATCATTGGTCATCAGAAAGTGTCTATTATAACCACAATGGGATGCCACTATCTACTCACTGGAATAGCTAAGATTAAAAAGAGTGCTAATACCAAGTTTTGGTGAGGATGTGGAACAGTGGGAACTCGCAAATGTCGCTGGTGGGAATGCAGTAGACACTTTAGAAAAAATCTATGGAAGAATGTTATAAAGTTAAACCACACTTGTAAAGTTACCATACAACCCATTCATTTCACTCTTAGGAATTTACTCAAGAGGAAGTAAAACGTACGTGTACACAAGATATGTATGTGAATGTTTACGCAGCAGCTTTATTCATAATAGCCCCAAACTGGAAGCAACCAAATGTCATCAACTGGTGAACGTACAAACAATTTGTTGTATACCCATACTTTAGAACATACGCAGCAATCAGTTGTAATTAAGTAGTAATGTATGCAATAACATGGGTGAAACTTCAAAAGCATTATGCTAAATGAAAGAAGTCAAACACAAAGACTCCATACTACATGTTTCCATTCTTATGAGATTCTAGAAAAGGCAAAACCACAGTGACAAGAAGCAGATCAGTGATTGTCCGGGGCTGCAGTGGGGAGAGGATTGACTGCACAGGGACACAAAGAAGCTTTTTCTGGTGCAGAAATGTTTCTCATCTTGACTGTATATTAACCAGGATTCACCAAGCTATAAACTTAAAATGAGTGAATTTTATTGCATGTAAATAATATCTCGATATTAGATTTTAGAAGAGCCTTTAAAAAAAAAAGAAAGAGAGAAATCTCATGGGGCGACACAAAAGGGGATTTGGATAAAAGGAAGGGAGGACAGAGAGAGGACTTCTAGGCTAAGCAAATACAAAGCTACAGTAGTTATTATTCTTTAAAAGTAAAATAAGCAGAGAGCGGGCTTAATGAGTACAGCTGGTCTGGGACAGAGCACAGCCCAGCAAAGGGCCACCTCCCCTCACCCCACTGCCCTGAGCTTCAGAAACAAGTTGTTCCCAACAAAGAATAGGAAACAGATGTTTTATGTGGGGAGGACAAGGAGAGGGCAGCCTTGGCAGGGAGACCACACTGGCTTCGGGAAGTCCATGGTGGCGAAGCCTCTCCCAACAGGTAGTTTTCAACCTGTGGGAACAATGGAGGGCCTCGTGCCAGATGAGGACCCAGGTCCTGAGCGAATGGACTTGGGTAACCTCTCGAGCCCTACAACTCCCTACAAGCCCATGATTCAAACTTAAATGAGAGTCATAGGAGGGATAAAAAGGCGAAAGTGATTAAGCTAGTGGTGGAATTGTGGACATCATCCCGCAGGCGGAGGGGGTGTATTCTTTAGCAACTGAGCTTTTCTGGCATTGTGTGAGCAGTGAAAGCCCACCGCAGGGTGTAAAATGCTACATGGATGTATGGATCATCCTCGTTGTGATGTGTGTAGAGGGGTGCACTGGGACCAGCCTCAAATGGCTGATGGAGGAGGGGGCAGGGGTGACTCAAGAGGCCTTCAGAAGCCTGGGTGGTCAGCCAGGCTGCCCCAAGTCTCATCACCATCAGTCACTCATTCCTTGGAGAGTATGGGGCTTGAGGGTGTGTGCTCTGGAGCCAGCATGTAGGGGTTCAGGGCCCATTTCTGTCACTTCACATACTAGCTGGGTGGTCCTGGGAGTTATTAACCTCTCCATGTCTCAGTTTCCTCATCTGCAAAATGGGGATAATAATAGTAGCCCCCCATACAGTTATTGTGAGGATTAAGTGAGATGATACTTATAAGTACTGGTATTAGTTACCTATTTCTGCTGTAACAAAATACCACAAAGTTAATGGTTTAAAACAACACAGCATCATTATCTTATAGATCTGGAGGTCAGACGTGCTAACATCAGGGTGTCGGTAGGGCTGTGTTCCTTCTGGAGGCTCTAGGGGAGAGTCTGTTTTCTTTTTCCAGCTTCCAGAGAGGCTGCCTGCACTCCTTGGCTTGTGGTCCCTTCCTCCATCTTCAAAGCCAGTGGCACAACACCTTCCAACCTGTCCCTGACTCTCTTGTCTCCCTTTTATGAGGACCCTTATGATTACATTGTACCTACCTAGAAAATCCAGGGTAATCTTCCCATCTCAGGATCCTTAATTTAATTACATCTGCAGAGTCTGTTTTGCCAATGTGATGAGGTGAGTGTGTCCCCCTCAAGTTCATATGTCAAAGTCCTAACCCCTAGTATCTCGGAATGTGGAGATAAGGTCTTCAAAGAGCTCATTAAGTTAAAACGAGGTCATTAGGGTGGGCCCTAATTCAGTATGACTAGTGTTCTTATAAGAAGAGGAAATTTGGACACAGACGTACATGGGAAGACATGGGAAGACACAGGCAGAAGCTGGCCATCTACAAGCCAAGGAGAGAGGCCTCAGAAGAACCAACCCTGCCAATCCCTTGTCTTGGACGTCTAGCCTCCAGAACTGTGAGGGAATAAACTTCTGTTGTTTACACCAGCCAGTCTGTGCTGCTTTGTTATGACAGCCCTAGCAAACAAACACAGCCATGCGAGGTAACATACTCACAGGTTCTGGGGAGTAGGATGTGGACCTCTTTGGGGAATATTATTCTGCCTAGCACAGTATTCAATAAATGTTAGCCATTATTAGTAGTATTACTGTCAGTGTCATTATTCTTACAGATTAAGCACTGATCCACCTCCCCTCAATGTCTGTCATATGCACGTATCTCACTAAATCCTCACATGTCAAACTCTTAATAACTAATTCTATGAAACTCCATTTCCTCATTGCCTTTCCTCAAGGAGGTGAGGAATATCGCTAAATGTTTAAGTCCCTAAAACATCTTCAAATTTCACAGGACCAAAGCATGTTTGCATGTTATCTCATAGGATCCCTGCCACAATCCTTGGAAGCAGGCAGGGCTGGATTAGCTTCACCTTAACACCAAGTGAATGGCTCATTCAAGGTCATGCCAAGCTTGTGAGCTGGGTCTTCTCTCCCCTACTTAGGATCCCTTGCAAGGGCTTACTGCTTTCTTGGCTCTTGTGGAGGCACCGTCCCACTGGGTCCTCACAGCACCAGGAGGAGGAGATCGGGGCTTTGAGGTTCTGCTTCCCTCCTGTAGGTGGGGAAGCTGAAGCTCAGTGGTCAATGACTGGCAGGAGGCAATGGGGCAAGGCAAGAGAGAGCCCAGGAACCTGCAGTCCATACCCAACCACTGAGTCCTCCCCGCAACCGAGTCCTCACCTTGATCAGAGGAGCAGGAATCAGGCTCAGGTTGCAGAGGAAGAAAAGGGGATCTGTCCTGGGCCAACCCTCATGTATGCCTGGTGCCCCTATTTGAGTGGACTCAGAGTTTGCAAATTGCTAAAAATAAAGTTTGCAGTGGAATTTCCTCTGAGGAGGAAACAGAAACAGAGAAAACAGAATCCCAGCCCTGAGGGAACACTTGTCCTTCTGTCTGGGTCTGAGAAGTCTCTGGGTGTGTGGTGTTCCCAGCCACCCTGGCTACTCTGGCTCTTTGTGACGGGGTCATAGAGCGTCCTGGTGGAAGGCCCCCACTTGGGGACCTGGGGGCCTCCGAGAATGTGAGTGTTGAGAGGGTGCCAGGAGCATGAGTGCTGCCTCTGTGTAGCCGCTGTGCAGAACAAAGAGGATCTGAGCATGCCAGGCACTGCCCACCCTGCCGGGCTGCGCACAGAGGCCAGCTAGGTTCTGGATGCCTGGAGGAGCTGTTTCTGCTCAGGCCTCAGCTGGTGGTGTGGGGGAGGTACACTACAGTCACAGGGGAACTTAGTCCATCACTGCTCACCTATTCCTGCCCTCCTCTGTAACTGGGGCCAGTTTCCTCTCTGCCACCCTCTGTTCAGCTCAACTGCCATTTCCTCCAGGAAGCCCTGCATGATTCTCCTGGTCGAAAACAGTCTTGCCTATTCCTGTTTTTCAATAGCACTTAAGGCTGTGTTATTTAAACATGCATAAAACATTTGTTGGGGGGGGTGGGGGGCGATTCCTCATTAGGAGGCAGCACAGAGAAAATGCCACCAGCCTAGGAGGCAGGAGTTGGAGCCTGGCTTTGCCTCCCACTTGCTATGTGACTTTGGTCCCAGCTCATCTTCTCACTGAGCCTCAATATACAAGGGATATCACCACCACCCACCACACAGGATGTCATAGGATAACAGATGCAAACTGTCAAATTCAGAAGTGTAAGGGTTTGAGGGTTGATTTCTAGGTTATCACATTTCAAGGGACACAGATAAATGGGAGCACATTTATCTCAAATGCATAGAAACTGGGGAAAGATTCAAGAGGCATGTGGTCAGTGTCTTCCTGCAGATGCAGGACTGACTCTGGGGACGGGAGGCTGACTTGCCTTTTGTGGCTACAAGGAAGACAGACTTCAGCTCAGTACAAATAAAGAGGAGAATGTTGCAACGGTCAGAGCCCCCCAAGGTGAAAGTGGTCATTTCATGGAGTAATGAGCTCCCTGTCATTGAAAAGACATAAAGCCACTTGGCAGGAATCCAGTGCAGAACATATATTGGACTAGACAGCTTAACCTCCTGTCATTTTCTGATTCTAGGAAAAGTTAAGGCATTATTGTGAGCCACTGGCATGAGATGGCAGCTTGCTTTTGACCTTCTTGAAAGGGCCTCAAGAGAGAAGAGAGTAAGAGAAATCCCATTTGCAAATCCTGTTTGCAGGGTCTCAGCAGACAGAATTGAATGTTATTTCCCAGCCACTGGGTCATCCCCTACTTCACTGCCACTTCTATAGGAAGATCATTTGAGGCAAGAACCAAGCCTCTAACTAGGACAACATTAATCCTTTAATAGGATGAGTTGCTGGCCACTTCTTAGGGAGATATGAATCTAATGAAGTCCGAGGATGAGGACAAACTGATAAGCAGATGGCATGGAAACTGTCTGTGAGGATGGGTGCCTTTGGGCTTAACTCGGCTGGTCTCCAGCTAGGCCTCTCTACCCTGCCTCCATTTCCCAGGTTCCCCCAGACAAACTTAGGAATTACCGCATATGCAAAGTGTTGACTTATAATCAGCTGCTTTCCTTTGGTCAAAAGTCCCCTAAAGTTCCCATCTCAGAGCCAGAGGAGTCCCTGATCTTTCCACTATGTGGCTTTGTGCAGGTGATCAGACCAGTGAAACCTCCCACCTCCGCCCCCGGCTTTTCACTGGGGATGCACTGATGACTGCATTAGGTAGGGAAGCTGGTGGGGGTGGAGTGGCTGACAATTCCTCAGAGGTCTTCTTGTGTCAAAGTCTTCAAATATAGGCAGCATCCTCTCCCACCCTGTAGCCTATTAGAATGCCTATAATTCCATCATGAAAGTCACTTCATTTGGCTTAAGGCAGCAAGTTTCAAACTGTGTTCCACAGGGCCCTAGGAGTGCCCAGGTCCTTTAAGAGCTGGGAGAGGAGGAAGAAATGGGGTAACTAAGAGGATAGGGCTCCAAGCTCCCCTTGGATCATAGTGCTTCCACTTTTATCTGATTTTGCTTTTAAAAAGATGAAAAAATTAAAGCCATTGGAATAAGAGATATTAAGATATCTCTTATCTATATTATCTAAGATCTGTACAATGATTGTGTATTAATTTTAAGAGAAAAGAATAAAACAAGTTGAAAACAGTAGTCCTGGTGCATGCAAGCAGGCAGGGGCCTCAGAAAGCACCCAGCCTACCCCCTCCCTTTTGCAAGAGGGGCCCAGTAGTCCACAGAGAGTCATGAGTCTGCTCATGTCTCATATAGTCCACTAAGACAGCCAAACAGGGAGGCCCAGGGAGGTAGTCCATGGATCAGAGTATCACACTAACTCTTACCACACTGTAGAGTGTAAAGTTCCAGGAAAATGCACTTGATCCTTATTATTATTCCCTGTGGAGCTGCTGGAGGAGGGGCTGCTGAGAAGGGGATGGGAGAGCCCTCAAAACCAGCTCTCAAAACCAGTTTGGGGCAGGAAATTCCCCCAAACTCTCTGGATGACAGTGACCAGTGCAGAAAAGGGAGAAGGAGGTGTGAGACTTGCCTACCTCTGTTCCACCAGGAGGGAGGGAGGGCTGCCCTGCCAGCTGCTGACGTCATAGTCTGGACATCACAGGTCATGGGAGGGCCTTGCAGAACCAACTTAATATCTTTATTTGACAGATGGAGAAACAGGGCCTGGGATTGGCCTCCAGCCTCACAGTGAATTATACTGAACCATCCCTGGACACCAGACTCCTGATCCCTGGGTCAAGAGGGGAACTTTGACTGAAAGGAGCTGGGCATCATACAGTGGGGGCAGTGGGGGTGGCTGGGTGGCGAGACCCTGGCTCTGGGGAGCTTCAGCACTGAGACTCCTCGGTGGGTCTCGGGTGCCACGTGCAAACAAGGGAGTTAGATTTCCAGCAGTGATTCCTATATGTTTGGATTCATGGACCAATAGAAGAGTTGTTGTTGTTTTAACTGGGAGATTAACATGAAGACTGCCATCTTTTTATTTTACCTAGTAATGGTTTTACCAAAAACTCTATCATCTACTACCACATCATTTCATTTATTCCAGGACATGTGTAGGAAGGACAAAATCTCAGAGTAAAGGCTGACTCTATAAATGGAAAGAATTTATATACATTTAAATAATTGTATATATACATACACACACACATATATAAATAATTTTATATAAATTACGATTTCCTTATTTTATCATTTTGTCATGACCTGGTGGGAACGAACCAGTGCTGATGGCACGTGGGAACCTCTGGGCTGGACAGATAACCTATGAGGCTCCTTCCAGCTTGGGAGGGCCGGGTTCTAAGTTGCAGTGCCTGAAATTGTCTCTGTGGCTCCTCATACTTCCAAAGCTATCTCTTATTCCTAGAACCACAGCTTGGCAGAGCCCAAGGGGTGAGCTAATTATAGCTTCTCCCTGCCCGAGGGCAAACAGGGGCAGGAAGAACTGTCTAGGTCAGGAGTTGACTAACTTTTTCCGTAAAGGACCAGATAGCAAATATTCTGTGCTTTGAAGTCTCTGTTGTAAGTACTCAACTCTGCTGTCATGGGCAGAAAGCAGCCACAGACGATACATAAATAAGCAGGCGTGGCTGTGTACCAATAAAACTTTATAGACACAGAAGTTGGAATTTCATATTATTTCCATGTGTCCAAAAATGTCATTCTTCTTTGGATTTTTTCAACCATTTAAAAATATACAAAATATTCTTGGCTTATGGTGGGCCAGATTTGGTCTGCAATCCGTAGTGTGTGGACCCTTGGTTTAGACTGTTCTCACCCTAAATCTATCACAGACCAGCAGGTGGCTTTGGGCAAGATGCTTCATCACTGTGAACATCAGTCTCCTTACTGCTTATAAAGCGAACTCAGTCCAGACTCTAGACAAGGAGGGAGGCACCATCCAAGTCAAGAAAATGGACAAATACTCTTTCCTGGTTGTGCCAACGTACCTTCTCCTGAGTCAGAAGGCTTCCTGGGCTTACAGATTGGAGGGTGTCCCCTCTGCATTTGGGACAGATCCGATCCTCGTCGTTCCTGGGGAAACACAAACAAATCCCCCTGAGTGAAGCACATAGACTCCATGACACCAGCTGCTCTCCTAACAGCTCGAAAAGCCTAGACCTTGCCCAGCATGGTAGCTGATATCAATGATTGTGCAGGTCCACGGTCCAGGCACCACCATTCCCAGCCTTCAAGAGCACCAAGCATCCAATGCTTTCCATAGCTTGCAGCAAGCTTCTTTGGCAGCCAAACCTGACTTGAACTGACTGGAGGCTATTGCACCTCTTCCTTATGCTTTTCCCACTTAGTGTGGATATTTACATGTTTCACTGCAGAAACATTAACGTGTTTGATATAGGGTGCTGTCCAATCTCTGCTGAAGAATTGTGTAATGCTTTGACTTACTTTTCTAAAGTCTGAAAAAATTCTGAATTCCAAAACACACCTGACCCCAAAGGCTTAGGCAAGGAATAGTGAACATGTAACTACACACGCTTTTGTCAGCGTCCTCTGTTTGGTTTTGGTCTCTTATTTTTAATAATTACAGATGATCATGGCCTATTAGAACATGAAGTGGCCTCAGAGACCATTTAGGTTCTCAATCAGGAGTGGGTGTCAGATTCTGACTGGAGTGACACCTGTTTTTACAAAGCTCTCAAGTGATTCCCATCCACCATGAGAGCTGCTGACCTAGCCCATTCTACAGGTTAGGGATAGGAGGCTCCAGAGGGCATGTGGATCGGCCAAGGTGGAGTGAGTCAGGAGCAGAGCTGAGCAGAAGCGCCTCAGGCCCAGCCCCGTGGACCTCCCGCAGCTCCTTCCCCCTTCTCTGCCAGGTTCAGGAAGAGTGCAGGGGGAAGCCGAGAGCCCACACCCACGCCTCAGATGAACCCAGAACACTCAGCCTGCGGTAAAACCAGTCAAGCTTTGCTCCTCCATCCCCCGTCCCCCACCTGGCCTTTCCACTGCCACCCTCCTCCCACCCCATCTGCGTTTGAACTTCTCACTTATCTGATTCAGTTTTCCCACCTCCTTAAGTTGTAAAGCCCCAAACAAAAGATCATGCAGCAGGCGCATGGCAGTTAAAGGGTACATTTGCCAGGAAACTGACCTGGGCAAGATGACCTAATCTCTCTCTTAGGCCTCACTGTCCTCATTTGTAAAATAGGGTAATAATAGTAACCCCCCCTCCAGGCTGTTCTGAGGACCCAAAGAAGGAGTGTTTGGTACACAGAAGGTGCATAATAGTTGCTTAAGGAGATGCCGATGATAGTACTAATGTCACACCTTTCTGGGTTATTTATATTTCAAATATAAATATATACATAAATATATATTTTATCTATACCTTTGTCTCCTTTAAGACGATGTCCAGCAAACAGGTGATGGCAATATTGGGGAAGGAGGTATGTTTATGTAACAGTCTGACATTTACCAAGGGGGTTTATATTTGTTTTCATAAGAGCTTTTTTGAGTATTATTGATTGGGCCTTGTAACAAGGCTGTGAGGCAGAAAACAATTTTACAGACAAAGTTGAGGAAAGGGTGTGGAAACTGAGGCCCAGTGAGGTGAAGTCACCTGCCCGAAGTCACCGGCTCCTCTCACCCTGGCCTCCCATCAGGGGTCCCTCCCTGCCACCTTCTCCCATCTTTTTGTCTTCCCGCCCATCTTTTTGTCCTCTGTCCCCTCACCTCAGGTTTTCAGAGAGACAGCCTGTGCAGCAGAGGGCCCTGGGCTCCGGTGAGTCCTGGCAAACGGTGGCGGGACACCCAAAGAGAAACTCATTCTCATCAGGGGCCGGGCGGGGGGTGCTGGCTGAGCTGGAGGCCATCTCGGGGTCCTAGGTTGGCCAGAGGGCCCTGCTAAGTTCCTCCAGGGCCGGGGACCAGCCCCGTGGAGTCTGCGAGGAGAGCAGAGGCAGGTTCTGTCCTGGGCCACCCTCTCTGGTAATCAGGAGCCTCTGATGACTTTATCTTCTTCTCTCTGGCTTGGGTGGCTCAACGTCACAGCTGAGTCACAGCAGGGATGGGGCAGGAATTACCCCTTGTGGTGAAAAAAATCCCCTGGATGGTGACTGATGGTTTTTGGAGTGTCCAGTCATTTTGTAGACTGAGAAAGAGCAAAAGAGCAAGTCAGAGAAAGAGAACCATGTCACAGGCTTTCAGAAACCAGTTAGAGTTCCCGTCTGAGAGCCGCAGGCTGCCGCTAGCTTCCTCCTCCTCCTCCCTGCGGCACTCACAGAGAATGCCACAGCTGGCCACTTGTCAGTGTTCCCTGGGACCTCTGAGCAGCCTAGAATTCTCAGCGGGGGTGCTCACCTTCCTGATGGAAATCCCCAGGGTCCTGGAAGCAGGTCCAAAAATTCAAGTTTTAGGTGCTTTAGCTCTGCCCTGTCCAGAGTGTCTGGGTGACCTCAGGTAAAAGTCACTTCCGCACAGTGGGTCTCGGTTACCCCATCTGTAAAAAAAAGGAGTTGCAACAGGTGGTCTCTGGGCTCTAAGATTCTGGGACCCTATGACCAAGGCAACCGAGGCAGCAGGAAGGCCTCTGATTACCAAGCCCCGCCAGTGGCATTGCTCATCTGTCTCAGTGATGACACAGGGCCCTCCCCTCCTCTGAAGTCCATGGGCTTAGGACCACAGACTCCTCAGTGCCCACCCCCACATCCCCACTCAGGAAGTCATAGGTGGCTACATGCTCAACTCAGGCGCCACCACTTCCCTGTCCTGCAGAGAACAAAGCACCAAACAAATACAAGATCACGGGGAGTTGCTTTCAGCAGCCAAGCAGGACGTAGATCCACATTTGCAGGAAAATTGAGCAGTGGAGACAACACCTCTTGGGGTATCTACTGTGTCCTGGGCAATGTTTTCCCTCTGAATCCCTACAACAACTTGCTGGGAATTCTTCTGCAGCCACGCATAGGCCCAGAGAAGCAAGATGCCATGTTCAAAGTCACACAGCCTCTGGTGGTGGAGAGGGGTGCATGCCAGGCCTGCAGGACTCCAAGTTCTGTGTTCTTCCACCCACACAAGACAGAGGAGAGCAGGGCCATGCGGTGGAGCCTACACAGCCCGGACGGAGGTTAGAGCATGCAGCTTGTCTATCAAAAGGAGATGATCCCTACACACCTTTCTATCCTGCTGGGCTGCTACAGGGGGGCTGCAGACATTCATAGTGGTTTCTAATCATGGGTTTTGTGGTCAGACAGATCTGAGTTGGGATTCTGCGTCCACCACTGATAAGCTGGGACAACATCCTTAACTTCTCTGAACCTCAGTTTCTGCATCTGTAAAATGGAGATACTAGGACCTAGTTCACCCATTATTGTGAATGAGATAATAGGCAAAAGCATGGCATGGTGCATGGGCCAAGTGAAGTGCTTGAAAGGCTTCAAAATTTTACTCGGATAATGGCCATAGCCCTTTCAGCTCCTCAAAATCGGAGAAAAGGATTAAAATGGTAAATTATATAGTGTTTTCACATCTATCAACTTTACTTGAGCCTCACAGGTGGGCAGGGCAGATCGGATGTTGTTTTCTGACCCTAGATAAATTGCCCACCTTCCCTGAAATGAAACTGGGCTACCAGGGACTGCTGGCAAAGAGGGCCTGGGACCCTACATCTGAGTATAAATCAGGACCTCCACTCTCACCTGGGCGGGTGTGACTCTCAGAAAACGATCTTCAGGCCTACTTCAAGACTACCAGAAAGGCACTCCCTTAACTGCAAACCCTGAACTTGCAAACTTCCCTGCATCGCCTCCTGCTTCCTCCTTCCCCTGGTTTGGGCTAGAGGAGGCATCAACACCTATCTCCCCATCCAAGTTCTGGATCCCTTTCTCTCTGCTCTGTCTTCAGTGCCTCACTCTCTACCAGATCCTTCCCATCAGCATCAAAATATGCCCAAGCTGCTCTACAAATAAAACTGAAAAATAACAGGTACTCCTTTTTAGTGCTGTGTTAAGTACTTTTACAGACATCATCTCATCTAACTTCCACCTGAACCCTATGAGGCAGGTATTGCCATCATCATCCCCATTTTACAGGTGAGAGAACCGAGGCACAGCAAGGTTAAGTGACTTGTTCAAGGTCTCACAGCTAGGGAGTGGGGACTCCTGAACCCACAGCCTGTGCTCTAACCACACATGCTTAAAACGATCTCCATCCTCATCCCAAATTCCTCTCCCATGAATTCCTCTCTCTCCTTACTTAACAGTAGACATTCTAGAAAAGACTGTCCACACAGGCTCTTGAATCTTCAGGGAACAGTGTCCCTTGTCACCAAATGCCCTGGGCCTGTCCCAGTTTCCAAGCAACCTGTCCCAGTGTCCATCGAACCTCTGGAATGCACCTGACCGGCACCTGACCTGGCTCGTAGCCCTTCCTTCCCTTGGCTTCCCGCACCCCCTTTACCCGCCTCGGGAGCAAGTTCCCCTCTGGCTGCTCCATAATGGTCTCCTTCACCCGCTTCTCCACCCTGAACCTCCACGGGCCCCGTGTCCGTGGCTCCACCCACCCGCCTCTGCGCCGAGCCTCTCCGCGCTGCGTGCCCCTGTCTCCCCGGCGTCCCGCTTGCCCCTGGGGGCTACCTGGGCCCGACCCCGCTTCCCCTGGAAGTCTCCGTGGGCCGCCCCCAGGATGGGCTTGGGCGCCCCGTTTTGCGATGCCATCGCGCCCCGCCAGCCCCCTGTCGCTCCGCTCTCTGATGCTCGGTTGCTTCTCTGTGCCCCCCAGCCCCGTCCGTGTGCCCCCCGAGGGCAGGGGACCGTCGCCTCGCCACCGCCCCATCTGCAATTTCGAGCGCAGCTCCGGGAGCAGAGCAGCGCCCGTGACTGTTCGGGGGTGAACGAGCCCAGGGGTGTCCCGGGCGCCCGCAGGAAGGGCTGGGGGCGGGGCGGGGGGACGGGAGACCGGGAAGCGCCCCCCGGTCGGGGGCAGGGGCGGGCTGGAGCCGGGGTGCGGGGCA